TCAAGAATGACTCTCGCTGTGATATCAAATACTCGATAAGCTCTTCTGCATCTTGAATAGCCCACAAATATTCCTCTCTTAGATTTAGCTTCTAGTTTGTGTCTTTGATGATTCTCGAGTTTATAGAAGACTTCACAACCAAATCTCATGATGTGAGAGACGGATGGCTTTTTACCTTTCCATTTTTCCATAGGGGTAGTGTCTGGGTCATTAGTTGTGGGAGTTAGATTGTACAGATATGCAGCTGTATTCACAGCTTCTGCCCAGAAGTGTAGGGGTAATTGGGAGTCTGCCAGAAGTGTTCGGCCTTTGTCTAATAGTGTTCTGTTAGCTCTTTCAACTCTCCCATTGCTTCTTGGGGTGTACGGTGTAGTTAGTTCATGTTTAATTCCTTTGGATTCTATGAATGTTTCAAGGTTTTTATTGATAAATTCTGTCCCGTTATCTGTTCTAAGTCGTTTTAGTTTTGAGTTTAGCTCGTTTTCTCTCTTTACAATAAACTTCTTCAAAACTTCTGCTCCTGAGAGTTTATCTTTGAGAAATTCTACAAATATTCTCCTAGAAAATCCATCTACGAAGGTCAAGAAATATTTACTTCCGCCCAAGGAGTTTATTCTCATTGGACCACAGAGATCGACATAAATGGCTTCAAAGGGGTAGCTTTCCTGATTGCTATCTGTGTGAACATAGGGTACTTTGGTCATTTTCCCCAATGAGCAAGCATCACATTGATCAAGGGTACCATTTATAGAGTTCAAGCCTTTTAGAAGATTGTTCTTCAAAATCAGGTCTAGTTTGTTGTCACTAGGATGCCCTAACCTTCTGTGCCATGCAGTCCTAGAATTGTCCTTTGAAATCAAACAATGTTCATTTGGAACATGAGTTGCTTCAGGTAAACGTGATAGGTTCAATGTGTACATGTTACCATCAAAGTTCCTGTTCCTATTAGCTTGTCATCAGAAGAGTATATGTATGCTCCTTCAGAATTCAAAAGAACAGAGTTCCCTCTTCTTACTACGCTTGGAATGGACATTAGATTTCCTTTCAGGTGTGGTACATGGAGGACATTATGCAGGGTTACAGCGTTGTTAAGTTTGTCCTTACCTTGTACAGTAGCTTGGATTAATCCTGATGAGGCAGATTCGATGTGTCTCCCTTCTTCCGCCACTTGTATGCTTCTTCTATCCTCCGTCTTGTGCTCGATCCATTCACCATGGGAAGTCATGTGGCTTGTGCACGCAGAATCAATTATCCACACGTCCTGAGTCGTCGGGCGTTCCTCCCTTGTGATTACATGTAGTGCGTATTCTGAAGTGGGGTCTCTTCGTTGGGATGGTTCCTCCGTTCGTTCTTGGATTGCTGATCTGGCTGTGTCTTTGTTTTGTTTTGGTCCTTTATGGTAGTTCCTTGTACTGGCCATGTTATTTTTGTTTGTTGTATTATTTTGATTTCCTTTGTTGTTAGGGTTGAACCAACAGTCTTTCTTTAAATGTCCTTTTCTTTTGCAAATGTAGCATGACTTTTCTTTGAATTGGTTGCCTGATGATCTGAAAGCATTTTCAGGATTTTTGCTTCTGTCCTGTCTTTTCTTCTCGAAATCCAGTAGAGCTTGTCTCAAGTCTGGTAAGGAGATTTCTCTGTTTATTGACAGTGCTGCTGTGATCGTGTCAAAGTTAGGTGTGAGTCCTTCAACAATGTATCGTACAAGTTCTCTTTCTGTTACAGTCTTTCCTAACTGGGTGATCTCTTGTGCTAGTTTCTGTGCTCGTACAATATACATGTTAACATTTTCATTTGGGTTCAATTTTAGTCTGGCTAGATCCAACATTAGGTCTATCCTTTTATTTTCTAGAGATCCTTCAAACCTTTTCTTTATGTCGTACCAAATTCTTTTGGCCCTTTTATCGCCTCGAAAGATGATTGTTAAGTCATCCGAAAGTGACAATATTATTAAGCTGTATGCTTCCCGATTCTTTTTCTTCCAAATATCATATTCTAGTTTATTTTTTGTAAAGTCTGGCTCGTCATTAACAATTACGTCCTCGAAGAGATCTTTTGAATCTAGAATTGCTTCCATTTTCATGGACCATGTGGTATAGTTGTTTTCTGTTAACTGTTCTATTTTTACTAAGTTATAGGTATCCATTTTTATTCAATATTTATTTTCTAAATTGGCGGTTAGTCCAATTATTTAATTTCCTTTTGATTTAAATGGATCAATTGGCGGTTAGTCCAATTCGCGCGCCCAAACCACGGTCAGCTACCAAATTGATATAGGCTTAGCAAAATACGGTTATTCTTTTGAGGATTTCTGGTTGTTTTTGTACTCACGTATGTTGTAGTTACGAGGACATCCCTTTAGATAAAAACAAATATATATTTATTTAAGGAACGACTTGTTCCATTACATATATTGTTAAGACAAGTTAGCGGTAAACATCAGCAAGTTTGAAGGTAGAAGTTGGAAGTTGTTACGTCATAGTAGTGACGTCAGCATCTATGATGATTAAAGTCAAAGTTTGCGTAACAAAAATAAATATTATTAATTTAAAAAATAATATATTATTATTTTTAAAAGAGAATTATCGAAATAATAAATATAGATGCTTAATCCTTTGAGAAATTTAAAATTCTTTTCTTTTAAGATAAAAGTTTGAGGTAATAAAAAAAATTGGTAAAATAAGGATAATAAAATATATAATTTTATCTTTAAATTTAAAGTAATTTCTACTTTAGGAAATTCGAAATTAGGCTCCTTCTTATTAAAAGGTTTGAGATGTTAATAAAATTGATCAAATAGGGATAATAAAATATAAATTTATTTATTTTAAATTTAAAGTAATTTCTTCTTCAAGAAATTTGAAATCAAACCTCCTCTCTTTAAAAGAGAGCTTGAGATAATAATAAAATTGATCTGGGTATATATTTAATTGATTTTATTCATTTTAGAATAAAGAATGGACTTGAAATTTCCCTAAAGGCAATATGATGTTGGACGTTTCGTTGCATATAAAAGGGTGATTGGCGGATCTATTTACAGGGCAGGACTCGTGTCATCTCCACCTTTCTGGATTTTAAAGGCATAGGTATCATCTCCAGCTTTCTGGTGTAGATCCTCCGCTGGACCTCTCTGCAATGGGCTCCAGGATCCTTGGGCATCGTCGGCCACCGTGGTGGGGTCTCCATCTGGACACCAAACACTTTCGGCGAGACACTGTGTATATATATTATGTAAATGTTTACATCTTTGTTGGGTCTGTTTGGTGGAAAATCTGGCCCAACATGGTGAAGACCACATCTTGTCTCTCGATAAGCTGGTCTTCCTGTTCTGGGCAATCAGCCCAACTGCGGCAAGAATTTGCATGTCAGCCTTCGACCGCCGGCATTCTCTATAAACTTATTTAAAAATATATATATTTTGATAATTTGAAACTCGTAAATTTGAATCTCTCGATAAAGTGAACATTTTTCCTGGTCCCTTGAAAAATACTCGATAAGTTGAATAAAATCAATATTAATTGGTTCCCTCGGTAATTGGAAGTTAAAGGAATAGTATCTTGCCTTGGAATTGTATCATTATTCTTGTCTCAAATAAATTGCCGTGTCATCCTGAATTTTGTCTTTCCTAATTTTCTACATTACAAAATCATCGTTTTATCCAGTGAACATTTTTCCCGGTCCCTTGAAAAATACTCGATAAGTGGAATAAAATCAATATTAATTGGTTCCCTCGGTAATTGGAAGTTAAAGGAATAGTATCTTTGCCTTGGAATTGTATAATTATTCTTGTCTCAAATAAATTGCCGTGTCATCCTGAATTTTGTCTTTCCTAATTTTCTACATTACAAAATCATCATTTTATCTATTCTCCCAATATATATGTTGTAGATAAATGATAAAACTAACTTTGACTTGTGCGCAATTAATAGGTAGAAAATCTTACTTTTGATAAATAATCTTTAAGATAATAAACTTAGTGATAATAAAACTTATAGATAAAAACTTGTTATCATCGTCGCAATGGGGGCGCTGCTTTCGAGTTAAATCTACAAATCTGAAAATAACTCTAAGGATATTCAAGATATTATTTTTCAAAAACCTTCCCGGGGATATACCTAATAATATCCTAAAATTTAACGTCGATTGGATGTATGGTTTTTGAATCTATAGAGTACAAACATACAGACAGACAGACAGACATTTAATTTTATATACTGTATATACTAGCCGAATGACCCGGGCAACGCCTGGGTTTTACCCGATTAAATGCTTTTATTCAAATACTATTTGTTACAATTATAAATTGGCGCCGTGGATGTCATTCTTGTGAAACGTCCCGCTCCAAACTTTGTGTCTGAGAAGCGATATTTTTATAAAGAGATGATCTGGCTTTGTGTCTTCTGCTCGAATGAATGTTTTTCTGTTAGAATTCTGTTCCTGCATACTAAAAATGAACTGGCTTCACCCGTGGTCTCTGCTCTTTGGAATTTTTCCGGATATAATTTTGTATCTGATAATAAAATATGATACAGCAATATTGTCATAATCATTTTCTGACTAAAAAAAAAAATAACTATTTTTGCCCAGAACCTGTCAATTTCAATTTTTCTTGGCTAAAAATGCGACAAATATCTCTTCCATATTTTTTTCTATGTCCTGTTAAAACACGTTTTACATGTACATTAGGTCAGCTGATATTACCTCCCATCTTCACCGCTAAAGGCCCTGCTTGCGAGCGAAAGAGCAAATTTGCAACTCAAATTTGCAAATAACTCGAAGAATATTCGGAATAGAGACCTGAACTATTCAATATAAGTTTTCCAGATTCTACAATACATACTGCTAAAATTTCAGTCATATTAGGTACGTATTTTACGTATATTACGTAAAAGCATTCCATTCACAAAAGCAAACGATGACAGAATTGACGACTCTGATACTTGTTTATTTTAATAATAATATAAATGAGTTTTAAAAATTGTAAAAAAAATAAATTAAAATGCATCGGCTGGGAATTGAACCCGGGCCGCTCACATGGCAGGCGAGCATTCTACCACTGAACCACCGATGCTTATAAGAAATGGCCATATTTAGGTATTTATTCAATTCACAAAAGCAAACGGTGACAGAATTGTGCATGACTCTGATAACTGTATATATCAATAGATATTTTCGAGATTTCTCAGAGGAAACTTGGCCGTCTTGGATAATATTCAGATGAGCTTGCAGCCCATTCTTTCAATACCTCATAGGGGTTACTAACCTCCATTGCCTAAATCTCTATCCCATAAGAACGCCGAAATCGCGAGCCGTGTGGCCGCACGGCCGAGAAAGAGAAACATCTTCCAGGAGGCAGGGGCGAACCCGCGGGTATATGATCCCATATGCAGTTAAAACGTGTAGATCCGCCTGTGTAGATAATTATAAATATTAATTTTGAGGCAATGCTTCCCCCTCTATATGTATGGAACGCTTCACGATTTTGCGTGTCATCCTTGCGCAGGGGCCATGCTAATCTTCTCTGTATCGTTCCAATTTTAGTATATGTACCGCCGAACAAGCGTGTACTCTATATGTAAGAAATGAAATTATTAAAGCACAAAAATTTCTTTTACACGTAAACAAACTTGTTATACTGTTCTTTCTGCAATGAAAAATATCAAATATATTAAAATACTAGCCGAATGACACCCGGATTTTACCCAATTAAATATTTTTATTCAAATACTATTCGTTACAATTATAAATTGGCGCCGTGGATGTCACTCGTGTGAAACGTCCCGCTCTAAACTTTGTGTTTTTTTTTTTAATGTGAATTTTCACAACGATATTTGAAAATTCTATTAATTTGATTTTCAAATACTATTCGTTACAATTATAAATTGGCGCCGTGGATGTCACTCTTGTGGAACGTCCCGCTCCAAACTTTGTGTCTGAGAAGCGATATTTTTATAGAGAGATGGTCTGTATTTGTGTCTTCTGCTCGAATGAATGTTTTTCTGTTAGAATTTTGTTCCTGCATACTAAAAATGAACTGGCTTCACCCTTGGTCTCCGCTTTTTGGAATTTTTCCAGATATAAATTTGTATCTGATAATTATCAGATATTTTATTATAAGCAAACCTGATACAGCAATATTATCATCATCATTTTCTGACTAAAAACAACTATTTTTGCCCAGAACCTGCCAATTTCAAATTTTCTTGGCTAAAAATCCGATAAATTTTTCTTTCAGATTTTTCACTATGTCCTGTTAAAACACATTTTCAATGTACATTAGGTTAGCTGATATTACCTCCCATCTTCACCGCTAGAGGCGCTGCTTGCGAGCGAAAGGGCAAATTTGCAACGCAATTTGCAAATAACTCGAAGAATATTCGGGATAGAGAGACTTGAAATTTTCACTTTAAGTTTTTCCAGATTCTACTCTATATACTGTTAAAATTTCAGTCAGATTAGTTACGTATTGTGGACGTGTATAGCCGACATAGGAACAAACACACATACATACACTGACCTTTATATATAGGGATTCTATTAAATATAAAATATAATATAAAGCTATTTCTACAGCCTTTATACCGCAATGAATAAAAATTGAGAGAGAGAGAAGGCATGGCTCTTCAGTGGGAAGGTTCATCAATGATGAGCCATGCCCTCCTTCTTCCAATTTTATTCATTGCATTATATTGACTGTAGAAATACTTTAAAAATTATATATTTAAAAGAAAAGTATGAATAAAATATTTTGTAATTTTCAGGCATAGAAGGCGCTGAGTTGATAATGATATTTAATACCGATTTTAAAAACTTCTCTCTTCACAATGATTCACTCAATTTTCCGAAATTTTCATAATATCATTGTTGAAACTAGTTTGCATAGTTTCTTGCAAAGTTTTTTGCAAAGTTTTTTGTATACGTTTTTTTTGCTTGTTTTTTGCGTGTTTTTTGTTTTAGAAAGATTCATTTGTTTGGGTTTGATTTTTGTAGTTTTTTATGTGGTTTGGTCACGTGATTGGGACCCTATAAAAAGAAAGGCGCAGCCAGAGGAAGTAGTAAGAGTCGGCAGATTAGGAGAGAGAGTCTGCAGAACAGGAGAGCGGAACAAGGAGCTCGAGCTCAAGAAGAAAGGCACTGAGAGGTTCATTGGAACCCAGAAGATAAGGCCTGAGGCTCAAGAGGAAAGGCACTGAGAGGTTCATTGGAACCCAGAAGATAAGGCCTGGAGCTCAAGTTAAAAGGCACCAGAGGTTCATTTGGAACCCAGAGGATAAGGCCTGAAGAAAGGCACTGAGAGGTTCATTGGAACCCAGAAGATAAGGCCTGAGGCTCAAGAGGAAAGGCACTGAGAGGTTCATTGGAACCCAGAAGATAAGGCCTGAGGCTCAAGAGGAAAGGCACTGAGAGGTTCATTGGAACCCAGAAGATAAGGCCTGAAGCTCAAGAAGAAAGGCAACTGAGGTTCGTTGGAACCCAGAAGATAAGGCCTGAAGCTCAAGTTAACAGGCAGAAGAGGTTCATTGGAACCCAGAGGATAAGGCCTGGAGCTCAAGTTAACAGGCACCAGAGGTTCATTGGAACCCACAGGATAAGGCCTGAGGCTCAAGTCTCAAGTACATTGGAAGAAGGGAAGCTGAGTCAAGCTTACCCGGATAGCTCGAGACTGATTGGACTGAGATTAGTTCATCTTTTTTGTATTTAATCATTGTGTAATAAAGCCTCATAATTTTTAGAATCATCAATAAGGCTTATCATTTCCTCCAGAGTAACACCTGCCTATCGCTACCTCCAAAATTTGATTTCTTGAACAGATAGATTTATTTTTTTAACATTTTTTGTTAGTTTTAACATTTGGTGAGCCGGACGCGATAGGCTTGGTGGTGAAATGGAGGAATTGAGCGAAATAAGAAAGGCTGCCAGAGGTAAATTTACTGAGCAGGTCAATAGTTTAAAGGCAGAGTTAAGGGATTCTTCCATTGATAGAAATAGGATATATGCAAAGTATGATAGGTTGGAATCTCTCCATTTGGAGCTGGTGGCATTGAATGAACAATGCCAGGGAATTTTATTGGCCCAAGAGGCTATTACCGATGATGAGATAAATAGGGAATTTGAGGATTGTGAAATCTATATAATGGAAAGATTTTATTTAGAGTGCAAAATTCGCGTAATGCGTGAGCAGGAGAAAGATGTTCTTTCTACTGGTGGTAGAAATGAAGTTGAATTTAAAGAAGCAAATATAAAGGGAGACAAAGTCTCAAGTGATGAATATATATTAGAAATGGACTTTAATAGGGAAGAGTTGGAGCAAGAAGAAACTGCTAATGAAAAATGTGAAGATGCAGATTTAAAGAATGAAGAAGATTCTGAAGCCGAGTCCAAAGGCGATAGAGTAAGGGATTCTGAAACTGCAATTAAAGGTTATGAACCGGTGAACAATTCTAGAGCAGTAGCTGAAGGCGCTGATCAAGTGAAGATTTCAGATGATGAAACTGAATCGATTGATGATAATGAGGAAAGAGTTGTCAAAGTTCAAGCATCGAGGAAATTGGTGGAAGCAAGACCAACTGGAGATACGAAATCTAAAATAAAGGATAATTATAAGGAAACAGAATCCCAAGATTTGAAAACCATAAATAAATCTGATTATGCAGAGAATAAGGACGATAAATACAACAAGGGAAAAGATCATGATGGAAATGAGGCGAAAAATATAGATGAAGAACATTGTACAGAGTCAAAGAACTTGGAAGAAGAGAAAGAGTTGGATGTGGAACAAGGAAGGGATTCGAAGAGCACTGAAGAAGTGAAGAGACTAGATGCAGAACAAGGTACTGATTCAAAGGTGGAAGAAAAGCTAGATGCAGAACAAGGTACTGATTCAAAGGTGGAAGAAAAAATTATTGATCCAAAAGATTGGTTGAATGAGGGGTTCATCGAAGGAGTTAATGAAGATCCACCTGAGGTAAAAGGACACTATTTGCCCCGTCACCTTTTGTTTAAGAGTGAGTCCAAAACGACGCCTATTCGGCCAGTATTTGACGACGCTTCCTGTCGAGGACGCAACGGACTTTCCTTGAAACGATATTTAAGGAGGGGACCCATTCTACTGAGAAGAATCCCGGAAATAGGGATAAAATTTCGGGAAAATAAGTTCGGAATTTTGGCCGACCTGAGAAGATATTTCCGGTTGATGGCCATCAAGGAGAATGATTGGGACTACCTCAGATTTCTTTGGAAGAAGAAAATGGACAACTGATGGTTTTTGGGCGGGAAATGGTTGTAGTGATGATTTTAGTTGAGTGCCCCGTACCTCAAAATCCGGAAGAAAAGACAAAGGTGTCTACGGAGACGAGCTGTCTCCAGAGGTGGCGGGAAGACCTGGCAGAGCTATCTCCCGAGAGAGTGTGGCGGGAAGTCCTGGAGTAGCTGTCTCCCGGGTAATGAGTGGCCAAGCTGTCTCCCAAGTAGCGGGGAAGAAGTTTTTCCCGCCCTCTACAATCACTCTAGAGGGGAGTGAGTGGAGAGGCGTCTCTGCGTGTTGTCCTCCGTCGGGGTGCCACTGGCTGATGTCCAGTGAAGCTGTAAGCTGGCCGTCTGCCCTTGGTTGTCTGAGGCGAGGCGCACGTGTCTTGAAACTCTTGGGTCTTCGCTCTGTGTGTGCGTCATTGGGAGCGTCCTTGCCGTGCGCAACATGAAAAACCAAGGTGTGCACACAGTAGTACCACCCCCCCGCGTTCACGTCGTTCCCTGCGTAAACCTCAGTACCTCAGAGGTCCTTGATTCGACGGCAGATTCAGGGAGTACTGGATAAGGGTTGGAGGGCTAAAGGGGGGGGGAGTCCTATTGGAGCGTAGGACGGGTTTAACTAAGTCCGAACGAGAGGGCTCGGTCAGCAACCTTGCCATTGAACTCTCGGAGACGCCTGTGGGTGAGTGGTCAAACCCATTGTAGCCGGACCATACTGGCGGGCGCGAGGGGCCTACCAAAGGCCGCTCGGTGCATGGAGAATGCATCATTCCTTCTGGCTGTGTGACGTGGTTTTTCAGCGAAAAACAGGGGATGCAAGGG